CGTGGAGGCCCCTACTCCGGCCGCTCCTTCCGCCTTCGCTCCATCGCTCTGAGGGTCTTCATGGCGTGTGCGGCAAATGTTTCTGCCGCTTCCCAAACTTTTGGGTCTTCCAGCATCCTCGGCACCAAGGTTTCGGCGCTAATCGAGGATCCCGCTGCTTCCTCCAGTTCCTGTCTCTCGAGGCCGAACCTGCGGCACTCGAAGAGAACGTGGTGCGCATCCTCCACTATGCCGGAGCCGCACTCCGGGCACCAGTCCTCCGCCTCGTGGCCGAAGCGCTTCAGGTACTGGCGGAAGCATCCGTGGCCACTAAGCACCTGGCTGAGGTAAAAACTCACCTGGCCGTGCGCCCTATCAACCCATCGCGCTAGGTCTGGGATGAGCCTGTGCGTCCACCGGCCTTTCGGAGAAGAGTCCCATCGAGCTTGCCAGTTCTCCATGCTCCTTCTTCTAGCGGTATGCTTCACCTCAGCGTAGGACTGTGGTAATCGCCTGTCCTGTAGGGATTCGGAGATCTCCTTCCTCTCCCTAATGAGCTCCGTCAGTGGGACTTGCCCTGCGATCACTAGTGCCGCGTCCTCCGAAATTGTCCGGAACGAGCATGCGATCCGGATGGCACATAGCCGGTAAGTCGCCTCCACTCCTCGCATGTAGCTTTTGACCGAAATAGCTTCAGCCCAAACTGGTGCCGCATACAGGATCTGCGCGGTCACCACCGATGAGAGGAGTTTCCTCGTGTACTGCCTTGGACCTCTAGTGTTCGGCAGCATCCTGGAGAGCGCTCCAGCCGTGCCGCTAGCCTTTTGGTGGACGTACTCCAGGTGCTCCTTGAAGGACAGCCGGGTGTCGATGATAACGCCCAGGTACTTGATCGCCCTCTGCGACCGGATCCTCGTCCCTCCAACCAGCACGCTAGCAGTCTCCACCGCCTTCCGACTCGAGATTAGGACCGCTTCCGTCTTGTGGGCCGCCAACTCCAGACCTGCAACCGCCAGCCACGACTCTACGGCTTGGATGGCCGTGTCCGCGCGCGCCTCCACAGATGCTAGCTCCTTTGCTACCACCACTATAGCGACGTCGTCCGCAAATCCAACCAGGTTGGTGCTGACTGGCATCGGAAGCCTCAGCACGCCGTCGTACATTGCGTTCCAAAGGAGAGGACCCAGGACAGAGCCCTGCGGGACTCCGGCTGAGACGTTGTGCTCTTTGGGACCCATGCTCGTGTCCAACAAGAGTACCCTGTTGCTGAAGTAGCTGTGAGCTACGTTCAGCAAGTACCCAGGGACGTTAAAGTTCCTCAGGGACTCTAGCGTACGGCTCCAGTCTGCCGAGTTAAAGGCATTCCTGATGTCCAGGGTGACCACCAGGCAGTAGGACTTGCTTCCTCCTTTCCACCTGGTTCCGGCAATGGCATCCTGCGCCAATTTGACTACCTTTGCAATGGCGTCCAGCGTAGACTTCCCCTTCGTGAAGCCATATTGCTCCGGGGAGAGTCCACCAGCGGCTTCGATAGCTTGGCTCAGCCGGGTTGAGATCACCCTTTCGAACACCTTGCCGATCGAGTCCAGCAGGCAGATCGGTCTGTAGGACGATGCTTCTCCTGGTGGCTTGCCTGGCTTGGGCAGCAGAAGCAGACGTTGCCTTTTCCATCTGTCGGGGAACGTCCCCTCCAGAAGGCACTTGTTGAACAGGCCGGCAACTTCGGACGTCAGCAGCGATAGAGTCAACTTGGTTGCTCTACTCGGAATCGCGTCTGGCCCCGGAGCCTTCTTGGGCTTCAGGCTTCTACCGGCAAGGAGAACCTCAGCTTCCGTGACCCAACGGATGTCGCCCAACTCGGTGCTGGGGCAGATCAAGACCTGCCGACCGCTCGGGAACAGGGAGCCAACTATCCTCTCCAGCGTCGCCGGGTCGGTTGGGGCACAGCCACCCGCATTAAGCCTCTTTACTACCGTTCTGTAGGCTCCTCCCCATGGATCCTCCTCGGCGGCGTCGCACAGCTTGAGGAAGCATTCTCGTTTGCTGTTCTTAATGGCAGTCTTAAGCTCCTTTCTTGCTGCCTTGTAGCGGTCGCTGCACGCAAGAAGGCGCGGGGTGCCTCTAGCTCGCTGCATCAATCTTCTGCTGCGGTGGCATTTACGGCGCAGGTCCGCGATCTCCTCGCTCCACCAAAACACCGGGGAGTGGTGCTTTCTGAACGGCCTTCTCAGTAGCATGCTTTGCCTGCAAGCGCCGTCCACGGCCCATGCCAGCTTGTCGGCCGTCTCGTTGGCTCCGTCTGCTTCGCCTGCCGTGAAGCCCTCGAGGGCATATGCAAAATCCCGCGGCCTGAAGGTGTCTTGCCGGAACGCCTTCCTATCCGGGAGTAGGGACCCACTCGTGCGATGCGCGGCGCCTATCGAGCACTCGATAGCCTCGTGGTCGCTGGCGGTATAGGCCTCGCTGATCTTCCATCGGGCGCGGCTGGCCAGCGCACTGCTGACATAGGTGAGGTCGATTACCGAGCCCACCCCGGCCCTGCTGAAGGTCTGCCGGGAGCCTTCGTTCAGAAGGACTACGTCCAGAGAGGCGAAGGTCTCCAGCACCGCTCGGCCTCTGGCGTTGGTCCGGGAGGATCCCCATTCCATGGCCCAGGCGTTGAAGTCGCCGCCGACCACGACGTTGCTCCGCCCACGCAGATCGCTGCTCAGCTCGTCCAGAATCCTGCCGAACGCCTCCAATGAGAGACTGGGTGCCAGATAGCAGCTGTACAGCCAAGTGCCGCCGACGTTCGCCCGGACAAAGCCTTCCGCTGCTTTGGTGTCGCACATCTCCGGAGCATCCGCTCCGCAGAGCCACAAGGCCGCCTTGCCAGAGCGGTCAGTGGCCCAGACGCGGCTGGTACCGACCCTGTAGGGTTCGCTCAGGACTGCCACCTCCGAGCCCAGCTCCCGCACCGTCTGCGACAGGAGATCCTGCGCAGCCCTGCAGTGATTCAGATTGAGTTGAATCAACTGCATGCAGGCTTGGGATTCGCATACCCACTGTTCGAGGCTGGACATCCCCTGGCGCCTGCCTTGTGCCTCGTCTCCTTCCTTCCGGCCGCGGAGCATATGAAGCAAGACGGCTCCTTGTTGCACGAAGCCGCCTTGTGTCCCGGCTCGCCGCAGTTAATGCAGCAACCGCTCCTGTCCACAGGGCCCTTGCAGTGGATCGCAATATGCCCAGGTTCTAGGCATCTGAAGCACCTCACGGGACCACTTCGTTCCCGGATCCTGCAGATGGTCCATCCAATCCGAACTTCACCTCTATGGAGGACGGCTTTGGCAAGGGATACGGGAAGGCTGATTATCGCAGTTTGGGTTTCAGCAAAACTGCGGCGCATGCTCCGCACTTTCACCCTCTCCGCCTCGAAGTTAAACTGGCCCGCGAGTGCGGCGCAGACCTCCTGCTTCGTCGAGATCGGCTCGATATTGCGCACCTCCAAGACGAGGACTTTTGAGTCCTCTGTCGTTGCGCGCACCGACGCTGTATCTCCGAGTACCTTCTCGATGCTCTCCCTCATTGTCGTGGCGCTCTCGGCGCTACCTTTCGCCACCTCCAGGAGCAGGTTACCGTTGTTGGTTCGGCGAACCTTTGACACGCAGCGTCCCAGGTCCGACAGCTGCTTGTCCTCTCTCCTCGTAACCATTGCGAGCACCTCGCTGTAGGACTTGCCGCTCGCGTGGACAATGACAGCGTCCGGGCGAGTGCGGCGCGCTGTTCTCGGCTTCCTCGCCACGACCTCCCAGTCGTTTACGGGGATTGCCTGGCTCTCAGGCTTCCGAGCTGGCCTATGCTGCTCCGATGCATCAAGCACCGCCGCTGGCGGCTTCGCACGGGGCTTCTTGGGCGCCCTTGCGCTTTTCTGCTGCGCTGGGCGAGGGGGTGGCGGGGCCAGCACCGGTGCGGGTAATCCCGGCGCATCTGGCTGGCTTAGCCTTCTCCAAGGCTCGGTTTGGGCCGCGGCCTCCTTTTTCCAGGTGGTCACCGTTTGCTGCTCCTTGTCCGCGCTTTTGGTAATCTGGGCGCATTTCCGGCACAGGTTGTTTGCGACCCGGCTCTCCTGCCTGTCGCTGACTCCTGCCGCGGCCGCTCTGCTTGCCGCAAGGATGCTCGAGTGCAGGGTTTTCACCCTGGCAATCATTTCCCTCAGCGGCACGGTGATATGCCGCGTCGACTTATCCATCATTCTCGATGAGACCTCTTGTAATAGATTGCCCATCTCCTGCAGATCCTGCAGGCAGGCTGCCTTCTCTGAAGCCTTGCTCTTCTTCGCCGGCGTAGTTCTCGGTGAGCTAGTCGGGCTAGCCGGGTCCCTCAACCTCTTAGGGGGCGGCGTAGAGCCTGTGCTCTGCCCACCTTCTTGGGCCTCGTACATCGGTGGCGTACGGGAGAGCTTATTGCTCCTCCCGAACGCCGCCTCCTCCTCCTCATCCCTCGGTGCACATGGCGAGCTCGCTAGTGCAGACCTGCCCGCGCAGGGGTTTTCCTCCTCCATATCCGGCTAGTCAGTCCGCGCAGGGCTCCCACGCTGGCCAAGAATTTCCCCCCTGGCTCTACGACGGGGGATATACCGCCCCAACTCGGTCCCCGAAGCCCGTTTGCTCGGGACACCGCCTAGGCGGGGAATCGGAAATTGGTCAGATCCGAGACCTTTTTCCGCCTGCCAGCTGCGCGACCTTGCACGGTTCCGGGTTGGCAATTAATAAAATTTATTAATTAATATGTCGATTTAAATTAAAAATTTAAAACGGCACAGGGCGGGAAAGCTTAACCGCAGGCACTTTCCAACACTAAAGTGTGCTGTTAGGCGCGGCTGTACAAGCTCCCGCGGAAGCGTTACACAACACTGGATCAGCTGCGATCAGCTGTGTTTGAGTGCCAAAAAGAAAACGCGGGGAAAGGCTTGTGGAAAGTGGAAAGCAGCGAGAGTGGAAGGCGTCTGCTGGGAAGAGAGGCTGGAGTTCCCCCTCCCCCTGTCCACCGGTTCCTGAGGCGGCCTGGATTGCCAAAAAACTTTTGGGCGTCCGGGGCCTAGTGGAGCCGAAGCCAGGAACGATCCGGGTACGTACCTGTGTACCTGGGAGTCTCACACTACACTACACGCCTTTTTCAGGATACCTGACACGCTTAACCGGCTTAAAAGGATAATTTAGCGGAGCGCGGTGAAAAACACAACTTCCTCCGAGTAAGTGAGTGTGTGATGTCCCAAGTGTGTGTGTGTATGTGAATCTGTGCGCTTGTCCATTTGTTTTCTGCTACTATCCATTAGTAACAGATGCTACTGCCACTACCAGAGGCAAGTCCAAGTCCCAGCACCCAGCTCCATTTGTAGATCCCCGCATTCAAATGGCATCTATGCATATACGTTGGCGTCGTTTATATATGCGATTTGCGCTCAACAAATACACATGCATATGGGGAAAACATGAAGAACGGTTGGGAAACTGGTCAAGAAGGAGACCAGGGATACACTATATTGAGTGGGTTATATGCTTAAAGTAGGATGGTTATTAGAGAAAAAGATTTTTGTTAAGTTTGGGGATTATCTGACCTAAAAATTAAAGGAATTAAGTATAAAGAAAAGTAACAGCCTTCCACTCGATGTGTTACATAACCGATACCCATCGAAACATACCCTTTGATGACCTCCCAAAAAGGCAACACAAATTTGTATATGGCCAAAAGCATTTGTGCTATTCCAGCCAGCATGTTAATACGGTTTTGGTGCGGCGGCTCCTGGCTCTCCCTCATCCTGCGTGTGGGCATCGCATTCAAACAGTCGCTGAGCACTGACCACTGACTACTGGGCCGTACTGTACACTTGTGTACTAGCGTTTATAGTTCTCCAGCTCTAGCTTATCTCCAGCCCCAAGTTCTGCCAGCTTCTAGGTGTTCCTGGTTGCTCCTTAGGCAGCTTCTTCTTTGGAGGATTTGTGTGTCGCAGCTACGCCTGTGTGTACATCATAAACACGTTTGAGTTATGGCCGCCTCGCCTTTTTATGTGACTTCTGGTGATGTTTAGCCCTCCCTCTCTCTCTCTCTCTCCCTCTGTGCTGGCCATATAACGAGATAAATCATTTTAGACAGCGTCATTAGTTGGCCATAATCATCATGGCCAAGGCAAAGAGGGGGACCTATACTCACAGCACGCGCTCATCTTGATTTTTGATACATTACGTATACGCCACCGACTTTAATCCAAGTCTTCTTGGCTGCGGGAAATGGTAAATTTCTTTTTAATTTGAAGCATTCACTCAAAGTCATAGTCATGTTGGGGATATTAATGCGCGTCCCACATCGTTCATCCGCATCCGAGGCCTCATCCCCTGCATTCCGTTCAGGACTCTCGTCCAGCCAATGACTTATAATTTATGGCGATGGCAGAAGCTGAAGTCTGAAACTGAGGGAGGGTGTGGAAAAAAGGAAAACCATAAAAAAAAGGGAATTTCAGACACTCTTCGAGGGGGAAAAAAAAAAAATAAAATGAAATTTTAAAGGGCTTCCCCCTTAAATTCTATTAAAGACCGAAAAAAAACTTAAGCTGCAGTGATTGATTCTGGTTAGGGTATATACTCTATATATTAGCCTTAATGTATCCCGGCATCGCCAAGGTTGTCTGTTTGTGGACTTAATGGCTTTTTAATTATATTAGCGGCGGTCGATTTCGATTTTGTGCGTCCGCCAAATTCGAGTCAATGAGCCAGCGCATGACTTGCAGGGCGTTCTGCCTTCTGTCCTTTTCCTAAAATTCTCCCTCCTTGTAACCAGGACGGCAGGACCTTAACTCCCTCCATGCCGCACGTCGTAATAATTGCATCATTTGATGTTGTTTGCTGTGCTGCCGCCTTGACAGCCGGGACAAGTGCATTTGTCTCAATGTCTGTAGCTGAAGTTTTTACAGTGAGAGAAATTTGCTTAAAGTTTTAATTTGAGTTTTAAAATTACTTTTATGTTTATTCCATTTCCTCTAAAATGTAATTAAGTTTTTTTTTTTAATTTTGTATAAATATTTTTATTTTTCCGTTATTTGTAATCTATTTTTTTCGATTTATTCAGTGTGCCCGTATATTTTTTCTTCTAGAATTTCATTGATACCGCGCTTTACGCCTATTTTTATATTTAATACTGAAAAATAAAATTTAATTTTATTTATTTATTATCCTTATTTACACTTATAATTTATTTTAAATTATATTAATATTTTGCATGTTTTTTTTAAATTTTATTTTAATTTTTTAATTTTTTTTATATACTATCTGAATATTTTCTAGTTTTTTTTTTAATTTTTATAATTTTTTTCTATTCTTCTTTTAAGAAAATATGTTAAACCCACAAAAATTCTAAATTATATATTAAATTCTAAAAAATTATATACCCAATTTCAAACTTTAATTTCTTGCTAAAATTCTCTCAGTGTTTATGCACGGATACTTCCTGTTGGCTCCTCCTATTCCTCCCACTGACACATCCTGCTCCTGCTTGACTCCATGTGTGGCATCGGCGGAGGCACACTAACATATGCTAATAGCAATTTGTGGTAATGAAGTTGATTAACATTGCAGCCAGGAGTGACAACAACAACAACAACAGAGGCAGGAACACGACGCGGAGACAGCTCTCGCTGGCTCCTTGCTCTCCTTGGTAATTAAATTCATGCACTGCCGCTTGCATCTCATTCAATCTCAGCTCCATCCGTGATCCCGTTCCGCGCTGCTACGGAAATTGCATTGAACCTGGCCATATCCATAAAGGCCTGCGCCAGATGACCACCGCCTCATGTTGTTCTCTCCTCATTTCCCTTTGACATTTGCTCCTCCACCTGCTGGCTTCTGAGTCCTAGAAATTGATGGGCTCTGTTCACCTGGACTCTCCAGCATATCGAATGGCAATTATGGAAAGTACCTAAGTAGCATATATACACTGAACAAAACTTCCCGTCATGTGGAACATTAAGACCATACAATGTTTAATTGACAACGAAAAGTAGCCAGAACTGTAAAATTCAGCTAATTGTTTTAATTTATTTTTTAGGTGTACGTGATTACATAAATGTAGAGGTAATTCTCCAATATCGACTGAAACATTTTTACTTTTGTACAACATTTGCATTCAAAGTGAAACTGACAAGAAGGAAAGCTATCTTTTGTTGTTTTATTTAATTTTTATTTACTCAAGATTTAACTTCTTAATTAAAGTTTCGTTTTTCAAGGATGTTTTTTAATCTAATTTCCTTCTAATAAATAATTTAAATTTTAAGATTACACCAGAAGTGCAGATAATCCTTGTAATAAAACCTTTATAATAACATATTTCTGAAAAGTAAGGAACATCCCATTTTTTAATAAATTCATTGTAAGGAGTTATTATTGTAAAAAATATAACTTTATTTAAAACGATAAATACGAATTTTAATAAATTTCATTGTCCGCCTGGCATATAAAATATAGATCGTAATTACATTTGTAGTTCCCCATTCTGCCTTTATCCAAATAGACGCAGTTAAACTTATGACTTATGTCGCTTGGTTCTCCCTCAAAATGTATCGTTAAATATCAATTTTCCTCTACGAATGGAAATTAATGCTCTTTTTACTTATAAATATATATATTTTTAAACATTTTCCCACACATTGTGTATCGATTAATATCGATTTTTATAATACTCATGTCTAGATTCTCCTTTTTTATTAATTTTTTTCCTAGTATTTTCTAAATTTTAAAAAACAATAATTAAAATTTCAGATTAATAAAAACAGTATCAATATAAGAAATTAATGCTTTTCAACCATTTTCTATTCGATCGAATAATCCGTTTGGAATCTGCAAGGGTATAAAAATGTATTTTTTCACTTTTTAAAAATATTTTAGGCAACTTGAAAATTCTCTCTCTATCCTCGTCCTATAATTTTTGTTTGTTGACTTTTAGCCCGCAACGATGGCGCATTTTTAATGCAATTATAAAACAACGAAAAACAAGAAAAAACGGAAATATCGCAAAATTGCATTTAATAATGCAACAAAAATATTCCATAATTTAGTTACTCAACTCCCAAGTTGATTTAATTTTACACAAAAGCTTCAATAATGCGGCGAATCAAAGTGCATTTAATACGATAATTCAAATGTGTGTGTATATATATATATATATAAATATATATAGAACGGGATAATAAAATATGGCCCATGACGGACGCAAAAAGTCCGCTGGCACGGACAATGCTACCCTGTGCCGCCGGAACCGGAAACGTCGCACGGATGCTGCACAAAAGTCGAGAGCACAAAAGGATGAATGATATGCCAGGCAACCCCACTTAATTTTCAGAATGCAGCTTCATATGTATATATTTATTTGAGATCTATTAATGACAGGGAGAAGGGAAGAGAAAGGCCGACTATCTGGCTGATAATTCAATTTGAAACTCGGCAGGGGGAAGAGGCAGGTGGAAGAGGCCTTTGAATGCAAATGAAATGCAGTCCAAGGGTAGGTAAAGCAGAATTTATAGTTTTGCAAGCGTGAATTATAATTCAATTTTAAAGAAAAAAATTATATTTTAAATATTTGTAAGTATTTTTTTATAAAACATTAACAAAACATTAAGATTTATAAAAAAAAAGGTATAACTTTCACTTGTCAAAAGTATTTAAAAATGCAATAATCTTGTATAATATTTTTAAAATTTATTCTATGATATTTAACTTATATTTAAATTAACCAGTAATTGCCTTAAACTATTTATTTAAATTTTAAATTAATCCTCAAGGGCCACTTTCCAGAATTATAGAAGAAATTAAATGGAATTTGTACCTTCTAAAAACAAATATGCCATAAAAAATAACATACATACATAGAACCTTTCGTAAGGTAAAAATGGATTAATTAATTTTAATAAATTTTATTTTATTTTTAATAATAACTTAACTTTCACTTAAATAATAATGATTTGGCTTAGAAATTCCTCTTTGGCATCAGCTTAAATTTCAGACTAAATTTCATTATTAATTATTATTTTCTGTGCATATATAAATAAATAAAAAGCTTCTGTTCATAATTAAGTATATATTCTTAGCTGCTAAAAAATATTAAAATTTTTTGAAATTGTAAATAATATAATAAGTGCCTCAAATTAAACAAAATAATCATTTGATATCTTTAACTCTATTTTACTTTTCGTTTGCCTCACGCGGCCATCCCTAGAAGTCGCATCCCCATGAAGTCTCCCCTCTTCAACCCTCCAACCCTCCACCTTTTCCACTCCCTCCCCCCCGCCTGGCTTTATTGCATGCAATTAAGTTCAATAAAGTGATGCAACGCATCCGCTGATGGAGCCTGGCGCAAAGGATTTGTTCTTCGCAGGATGCTGAATGCTGGCTTTGCCTTTGCCTGCAATTGTTGTTGTTATTGTTGCTGCTGTTGTTGTTGTTGTTGCGTAATTAACGAAAGTGGGCTTGCGGCGTAAAAAGGGTGTAGGGGGGGGTATAGGAAGCGAGTAGGCGTGGCCAGCCGGAGCTCATTTACACGATCCAGCTGCATAATGAGCGCCATATGCCATCGCGGATGCGTTGCCATGCGGTTTTTATCGCTGCCACAGAGACGCAGAAGTATGTATACACTGAAAAAAATTGCAATAAACACAAAAAATATATATATTTTTAATGAAAATAAAGAATACATTTCTAGTTTAATTCAATTAAAAATAGTTTTAAAATAAAATAAAAATATTTTCTCTAAGATATATCTTAAATAAGAACAAATTCAAGTTTTCTACAATTTAAAATTACAAATATATTTGTTTTAGTGTTTTAAAAAAAAGCAGCTGAATGCCTAAATTTAATTAAAGTCACCAGCGAGTGTCCGTTGATGCAAGGGGATTGTTATCCTTGGTCCTTGGGTCCTTCTAATTCGATTAACAATCAACGAAAACTGTGGAAAACAAATAAACTTCAGGGGTGGGGCGGCAAGGAGGGGCCACCATTGACCCCAAAGTAATGGCATAATTAAATTGACGGCAAACAGCCGGTCTCCAGCATGCTGTGTGTGTTGGCCAAAGGAACTGATAAATTCCAATGTCCTTTGCGGCTCCTGTGGCTGCTTGTTGTTGTTGTTGTTCTTGTTGTTGTTGCGGCGGAGGCCCTAGTGTCATCTGGCAGCTAAAAAATATATCCAAAAATTTGGATACCAACTCTCGCGTGTAAAACTCCGTTGTTAACATGCAAATTTACATGGATGATGCCACACACGGTGTGGAATGCGGCAGCAACAGGTGATAGATGACAAATGGCAGCATAGAATAGCAACTAAGATTTTTTTTTATGATAATTGGAATGTAGATTGGGGGATTTTGTAGATTTTATCGTATCTGAAAAGTGCTCTAGTGTTTTAGCTTAAACTGTAAGATAAGATAAAATAAGATGCATAACGGGCTTGCTTACAGGGATTAACTAGAGCTGGGAAAAAGTCGATGACAACATCGATTATGATTCTTTCTATCCTTGAAAAAAAAAACTTGAGATTAAAGATTTAAGTCTTAAGTAAATCATTAAAAAAAAATATATATATATATAAGTATTTAGGTATTTTTGGGATACAAATTACTCTTGGAATATCTCTTCATGCCTGTTGGGTTGCCAAATAATTGAATTCTCTTAAGCGAAAGGTTTTTTTTATGTGTATTTATGGCACTGAGGTTCTTCTCCGTGAAAGATTTGAATATATGTACAATACGACCACTCAGAATTAGATCATCGCTATAAAGAGCTCTTATCAATCCCAACTTTGGCCGGCTGATTTTTCGGAAGCCTTCGCGTGTTTTCGGGAATCCGTTGATAAGAGACAGACTTTCACCTTCACCCATGAACCCCTGATTTACGTCACGCGGCTTAAACAGAGCTCTTAGTTACAAACTGCACTGTATTTTTAGTGCTAAACTAATTAATAAATAAATTGTAATTTATTTTTTGGGTAATATAGCTATTGTTATTAATATTAATATATTCTAAAAATTAATTTTGAAGTTTAAGTAACAAGGGTACAATTCTTGCTTGTCAATTTATTTTTTAGTTATTATTATTAATTTAATTGAAGCTGAGAATCATGAAAATTAATTCAACAAAAATGTTTTGGGGGAAAACTAGAGTAAATCCTTTTCAAAGGGCTACAGGTAAGTCTACAGTCCTGATTTAGCCACAGCATTCAAAGGGGAATTTCAAAGATTAGCTGAGGTTTTGAACCGCCGCCCATTCATGCATTGTTCGGGTTCCTCCCCAAATAAATGTTGAGCTAATTTTGTTTGGCATTTGGAAAATGCCGCCGGGACAGAGAGCTTTCCTTGGCCAGGCTTTTCCTTCCCTTCCTGCTGCTGCTGCTGCTCCTGCTGCTGCATTCAGAGTTCAGAATTGGATTAGGGCTGGGGCGTAATAAGCATAACGTTAATTGAGTATGGTAATTCACTTAACCGAAGCCGAGGCGGGGTGGAGAGCCACCTCCCTGGGCCATTTAATTTTGCTGCATTTATCGCTGGCTGTTAATCTTAAACGATTTTGCTGCGCCCGGCCAGCGTCCGGCGGGAAATCTGGGCAAGAGATTCATCATGTTTGCCTACAACTCAGTGTCCAAGTAGTTGCTCCGCGGGCAAACAGAAAAGAGGAGCAACTGCAGGAGACGCCTCCGCCAGCAGCAGCAGCAGCAGGAGCAGGACATTTTTAATTAAATTGCATTTCCGCTTGGGAAATTTTTTATGAAGCTACAAAAAAGCAGCGCGGGGAAAGTCTTCGTCTCTTCGTTCCTCGTTTTTTTGTGGAAGAGAACGCGTAGGCAGCCGCGGAGAAAGCATTTTCCTTTTGTGCTTATTTTTATGCCGCCTCAGTTTTGCGACCACGCCCACACGGCCCTGACACACTGCGAAAAAATTGGTTTGTGAAAATATAACTAATATTGCCTTGGTTTTTATATATTTTATAAAAAAAAATGTTTAAAAACAGACACTTAATATAAATAATTATTAAAATAAATATTAAATAAAATTATGTAAATAATTTCTGTAATAAAAGTAATAAAATAGAAATTAGAGTAATTTTCTAGTTTAAAAAATTAAATGAATTTTAATTTTTAAAAATAAAGTTAATTAGAGTAATGTTATAGTTTAAAACAATCAAATTATAATTAAATAATTAATTTAAATTTGATTTTTAATTAACTTGATTTTTATTTAATTTTAGTTGAATTAAATATAAATTAAATTAAACATAATTGAATCAAAATTATTTAAAAATCTAATTCAAATTAATTTAATATTTAATACTTTTAATTTTTAATGTGTTTAATTTAATTATTTAATCCGATAAATAAAATGTTTAATTAATTGTAACCTAAATAATTTTAATTTAATTTTTTTAATTAATTTAATTTTAAATTTATTCCAATTTAATTAATTTTAATTTTTTTTTTTAAACTAGATATTTACTCTAATTTTTATTTTATATTTTTTATTACAAATATTTATGATTTCTAAAAAATATCTACAAAAGTCATTTTTAATGATTTTTAATTTTTTAACAAGTTAACAATAAAATAAATTGAAATTCAATATTTAAAAAAAAAATTAAAATAAATTAAATTTCTTTATGTATACATTTTATATAATATTCATTTTATATCCCCTTAAATATTTGTAGGTATTTTAAGATATCTGATACTTTTGAAACCCATTTTCTTGCAGTGTTTTCCACGCAATCACAGTAGTTTTGCGCCTGCGGTAAGCTCGGACGGATACGGATACGGTTGCTGATAAGGAGATGGCGTTGGGATGATGCTGGGGCACAAACAACAAGCAAAAGAAAGAGAAAGAGAGAGGACGACCGGGGGGCATAGAAGCTGCTGGCTCGCGTGTAATTCAATTTTTTTCCCGCTGGAACCTCTCCCCCAGCCCCCCAGACCCTCCCAGCAACCAACAATTCCAACAAAGAAGCATTTATTTTGCGCCCGGCTTTGTATGCGCTTTTCTTTGTTGCACACAAAACTCAATATCCCGACTTGATGTCCTTTGTAATGCATCCGCTTTCGGCTGACGAGCGAGCGGACTGACTGAAGGACGAAGGACGCAGGACGCAGGACGCAGGACGACGACGAGTGAAAAAGCAACTGACTGTAAATCTGCCTGCAGCAGAGGCAGCGCCAGTTGACATGCCAACCGGAGACGGACTGGCTGGCAAAAGGAAGAAGCAGGAACAGAGGAGCTGTTCCAGGACCTGCGAAAAGAACAGGACCAAGAATCGAGAATTGAGCGAAGCAGTGGCTTTAACATCAAACTTAATGACTTTGGCCAAAAGCTAAATTGCACAAAGTGTTCCCTTAGCCCCCTCGCTTCCCTCTGCAATCAACGGGCAGCGGCTTTTAGGGCCATTAGCCAGTTTTCCTAGCACATGTTACTACCTCCCATCCCCCCCAATTGGCCCAACACTGAAAGGCCTTGGGATTGGTTAATACTATTTTGATTTCAGATTTATGCTGTACATTTTTAATTAACCCTTTAGGCCCCACTTATTACATTATTTACAATTTAAAAAAAATAATAAATATAATAATACATACATTTAAATATTTGTTAGTCGTTAAGAATTTCGTATAGAAGCTTTGAATGATCTCAGAAGCTTTTAATAGTACTTTTTATTTGAGTTTAGAAGGCACAAATCACTCTACAAAAAAAATTTTCATTGAATTTCTTTCATAATTGTGGTATTAGAGGGTTTAACTCTACGTTTAGCTAATTTAAAATCTATTTTTTATGTTTTATAAGGGCGGCACAGGGCGTGGCCAAATGTAAAAAATTACTGGATCATTCTGCAAGTTGTAAGATTCTTGTTACCAAATTCGGCGGCTGTAGCTCTTAAGGTCTTTGAGATATAAGGGTTTATTCTGGTTAACGGACAAATGCATTGACGGACAAATGCATTGACGGACAAACGAAAATTAAAAAAATATTATATCTCTTTATTTGCTTGTTATATCTAGTGTAAGTTTTATTAATAAAACTTTTATCAATACTTACCAATTTATTTGCGCAACTTTTAAAAATTCTTAAATTTAAATATTTAAAGTAATTGACAACTTTTTTTTTGCAGTGCACAAGCGTATGTGTATGTGCTTTTTTTTCTGTTAGTTTAAATTCCACTAAGCCTGGGTACTCTGGCTACCATTTGACCCACATTAAAATCAAATTACAGGCCAAAAATGTTGCTGGAATTTCAATTACAACAATTCGCCTGCACATGTGGCGCAGGATCGCAAAGGATTCCCGAAAATCAGTTTGCGAAATGAGGCTTAGTTATGGGATCGCCTCTAATTACAAATTCTTACGCGCCAGTAATTTTTTTATACCGAAATTAAACAAGAAAACAAATCAAAACTTACAGTAAAGCCTGCGTAATCTCTACCCATTCGAATCCGTTTTTTATTGTTTTTTCCTGCTATGATTTTTTGCTAATTTGGTGGAAAACATGCCTAAAAAAACAACAACAATTTAAATAACATAAAACAGCCGAGTCGATCTAGCCATGTCCGTCTCTTTGAATAAAACTAAAGAGTCAGATCAATTCAATAATTTATAATTTATTTTATGTAACTAAATAAATAAATATTCATATTTAATATTCATTTAAAATATAGCAAAAAACATAGAAATAAAAACGTAATTTAAAAATTAATAAATTTAAGCCGCGTGACGTAAATCAGTGGTTATTAGGTGAAGGTGAAAGCCTCTTATCAACGGATTCCCGAAATCAGGCGTTGGCTTCCGAAGAAGCATCCGATCTAGGTTGGGATTGATAAGAGCTATTTATAACGATGACCGCACTCTCTGCGTGCTCGTTTACATATATTTCCTATGAAAAGTACCCAAGTAGCATAACAGGTTGGCTGATAAGTCCCCGGTCTGACACATAGATGACGTCGCTAGTATTGAATGCATATTATTTTTATATAGTACTAACCTTTAAATGATTCGTCTCAAAATTTGACGTCTGTCAGTCAATTAGTTTGTGAGATAGAGCGTCTTTTGTGAAGCAACTTTTGTTATTGTGAAAAAATTTGAAAAAAAGGAATTTCGTGTTTTGATAAAATACTGTTTTCTGAAGGGAAAAAATACAGTGGAAGCGAAAACTTGGCTTGATAATAAGTTTCCGGAGTCTGCCGTAGGGAAATCAACAATAATTGATTGGTATGCAAAATTCAATCGTGGTGAAATGAGCACGGAGGACGGTGAACGCAGTGGACGCCCGAAAGAGGTGGTTACCGTCGAAAACATCAAAAAAATCCACAAAATGATTTTGAATGACCGTAAAATAAAGTTGATCGAGATAGCATAGGCCTTAAAGTATCAAAGGAACGTGTTGGTCATATCATTCATCAACATTTGGATATGCGGAAGCTCTGTGCAAAATGGGTGCCGCGCGAGCTCACATTTGACCAAAAACAACCGTGCCACAAGTCATTGAGAACGATGGCAAAAATTCATGAATTGGGCTTCGAATTGCTTCCACACCCACCGTATTCTCCAGATCTGGCCCCCAGCGACTTTTTCTTTTTCTCAGACCTCAAAAGGATGCCCGCAGGGAAAAAATTTGGCTGCAATGAAGAGGTGATCGCCGAAACTGAGGCCTATTTTGAGGCAAAACCGAAGGAGTACTACCAAAATGGTATCAAAAAATTGGAAGGTCTTTATAATCGTTGTATCGCTCTTGAAGGGAACTATGTTAAATAATAATAACGAATTTTGACAAAAAAATGTGTTTTTCTTTGTTAGACCGGGGACTTATCAGCCAACCTGTTATATACACTAAACAAAATTTTCCTTCATGTGGAACATTAAGACCATACAATGTTTTATTGACAACAAAAAGTAGCCAGAACTGTAAAATTCACCAAATTGTTTTAATGTATATTTTAGGTGTACGTGAGTACATAAATGTAGAGGTAATTCTCAAAAATCGAATGAAACATTTTTACTTTTGTACAACATTTGCATTCAAAGTGAAAAAAAACTGACAAGAAGAAAAGCTATCTTTTGTTGTTTTGTTTTATTTTTATTTACTCAAGATTTAAGTATTTAATCTAAAGTTTCGTGTTAATAATAAATAATAATAAATAAAAAAAAATAAAATAAATAAATAATAATAATAATAAATAATTTAAATTTTAATAATAATCTAAGCTCGATGATTAAACCAGAAGCTCATAAAATCCATGTAAAACTTGAATCAAATAAATATTGCTGAAAAGTAAGGAAGACCCCCCTTTCTTAATAAATGAATTGTAAGGAGTTATTATTTTAAAATATAACTTTATTTAAAACAATAAATACGAATTTCGTTAAGTTTCATTGTCCGCCTGGCAAATAAGGAAACGAGTTTCGGTGCAATTGACGTTGAACATTTCGCCTTTAAACAATGAAATGCAATTCTTATCGTGGCTTTTGTCGTCTGGTTGTCCATCACGCCACCTAAAGAATATTCCGGGCTTGTGTGAGGCCACAGATACGAAGTGGCCCTCATTCTCCCTATCATTAATGCCCAGCCAGTAAGCCGGCCAATCTACAAGTTTTTCTTTAATGGCGTTGATTTCTTCTTCATTTCGAAAGGATGCTAAGTAACCTCCCATCTCACGACACCTTCTCTCAGCAGTATACCAATCCACTCTTTCATTTACAATTTGAAAATATCTGTTACCGATTAGCTCGAAACTAGGTGGTATCGTAATCGTGGATAAAGCTGGGACTGCCACATTGGCAGCATCTATCTTGTTCAACACGGCCTGCAGTTGATTTACAACAGCTTGAAGTTGGATTTCAATCATTGTTTGTACCGCAAGGAGACCTTTATCCAGTTTAGCCTCCACCTTGGTTTGCACCCCCTGAAGTTGTCCTTCTAGCTTATTTTTCACTCCTTGTAGTCGTCCATCCAGCTTGGTTTGTACCGCCAGCAGGCTTCCTTCCAGTTTTGCTAGGGAGTCCTCCACCTTGCTGAGTACCACCTGTTGTCCTTCCAGCTTAGCTTCCACTCCTTGTAGTTGTCCTTCCAGCGTGGCCTGAACTTCTCCTATTTTCACTTTCAATGTCTCTAGCTTAGTATTCCCTTGGTTCTGGGCCTTGACGACTTCGTTAAGCCGTGGGCTCAGTTCAGTAAGACAAATGCTGTCGCACTGATTTTGTATTGAATCCTCAATGAGGCATATGTACCCCGGCTGGTCCGCGGCGAAGGATCCTTGACACAGGATACAGGCAGCCAGCGCCCAAAGGAGGTAGTTTCCGATGTAGTGCATCCTTCATGTGTCAGAGATTATAAGACCGTGGAACTTGAGAGTCTCTGGTGAACTGATTCCCGAATTATTCAAAGACTTTCGAAGAGGCATTGAGCTTAGGCTGGGATTGATAAGAGAGCTTTTCATAAAGATGACGACATACTCTATCCACGCATTTCTCAATTTCTGTGCAGTTTGTAGCTAAGAGCTCAGCTTAATCAACGTGACGTAAATCAGGGGTTCAAGAGTGAAGGTGAAAGTCTCTTATCAACGGATTCCCAAAATCACGCGTTGGCTTTCGAAGAAGCATCCGATCTAGGTTGGGATTGATAAGAGCTATTTATAACGATGACCGCACTCTCTGCGAGCTCGTTTATATATATTTCCCAAGCAGAAATACATAAGTAGCACATGTACACTGGAAAAAATTACCCTCCGTGTGGTATTATGCCAATACTATGATAAATCTCCTTAAAGAAGAGAACGGGTATCCTGGAAACAATTTTTGCAAGTGTAATTTGTATCCAAATATCTATATATATTAATTCTTATTTAATTTTCATTTACTCAATATTTAGTTGAATTCAACATACCAAAGTACAATTTATTTTTCTGTTTAAATTTAAATAATAATCCAAACTCAATAATTAAACCAGAACCCCAGATAATCCTTGTAAAACTTGTGTCTAATAAATATTGCTGAAAAGTCAGAGAGACCCCGTTTTTAAGTGAAATAGTGTCACAAGTTTTTATTATTTTAAAATATAATTTTATTTAAAAAGATCAGTACAATTGTTGCTAAGTTTCATTGTCCGCCTGGCAAATAAAATAATAGTCAGCACTACAAAGGTGGCTCCACATTTCGCCAACAAACAATTTGACGCAGTTCGCATTATGGTATTTGTCGTTTGGTTCTCTCTTATGCCACTTCAAAAATGGTGCTGGCTTGTGCGAGGCCACAGATACGAAGTGGCCCTCACTCTTTCTATCATTAATGCCTAGCCAGTAACCCGGCCAATTATCAAGTTTTGGTATAACGGCGTTCATTTCTTCTTCATTTCGAAAGGAGGCTAAGTAACCACCCATCTCACGACACCTTCTCTCAGCAGTCTTATAATCCACCTTTTCATTTACAATTCTAAAATATCTGGTTCCGATTAGCTCGAATCCAGATGAAGTAGTAATCGTGGCTGAAGCAGGGACTGCCTTGGCTGCTTGTTGAGGGGCGGCCGTCTTATATGATATGGGATGTACTTGCGCTTCCACCTTGGCAGCATCTATCTTGTTCTGGACTAACTGCAGTTGATTTACAACAGCTTGAAGTTGGATTTCAATCATTGTTTGTACCGCAAGGAGACCTTTATCCAGTTTAGCCTCCACCTTGGTTTGCACCCCCTGAAGTTGTCCTTCTAGCTTATTTTTCACTCCTTGTAGTCGTCCATCCAGCTTGGTTTGTACCGCCAGCAGGCTTCCTTCCAGTTTTGCTCGGAAGCCCTCCACCTTGGTGAGTACCACCTGTTGTCCTTCCAGCTTAGCTTCCACTCCTTGTAGTTGTCCTTCCAGCGTGGCCTGAACTTCTCCTATTTTCACTTTCAATGTCTCTAGCTTAGTATTCCCTTGGTTCTGGGCTTTGACGACTTCGCTAAGCCGTGGGCTTAGTTCAGTCAGACAAAAACTGTCGCACTGATTTTGTATTGAATCCTCAATGAGGCATATGTAACCCTTCGAAGGATCCTTCGCGTAGGATCCTTGCCACAGGATACAGGCAGCCAGCGCCCAGAGGAAGAATGTAGTGAAGCTGTGCATCCTTTTACTAGGAGATTGTAAAACCACGGTAGATGAAAGTCTCTAAAGAACTGATTCCCGAATTATTCAAAGACTTTCGAAGAGGCAGCTTCGGCTGGGATTGATAAGAGCTTTATATGTATTCATAAATATATAGAGAAGACGGCACTCTCTGTGCTCGTGGAGGTCTATGCAAAATATGTATGGACTTATGTATGTATATAGGAGACAGTATATAGTAAATATAAAAAATTATACACAACAAAATATAATCATGGATTAAGACTTTATTTGGAATTCTCTTAGTTTAAAAGCTATTTAACCCTCTAGTGCCCAAGACCGCCTCTAGACGGGCAATGTTAAAAACACCGTTATTTTATTATTTTCATTCCTTTTCACACGGTTTTCCGTTTTTTCTAATTCAGGAAAGTCCAAAAATTAAGTTCGTTGCGTTTGGAATACATACTAGAGCTAGCGCAAGCTGCTGTATTCATTTGAAGTTGAAAATTTGTGCAAATCGGACAAAATAATTATTTTGTAGGAAATACAACATGTAAATACTTTTTTTTTAAATTCGAAAAAAATTAGAACAAAAAATTGTACTGTGTTGCTGACAGTCTCAATTACATTTATAATAAACATTTTAACAAAAAAAATTTTTTACCTAATTTTTTGTTGGCCTATCTTCCCAGAACTGCCTTCATGCGGTCCAAGGTTTTAGTCGTATAAAACTCGATCCGAGCAAAAGTAAAATTTTTTCCAAAACAAACATTCACTTTTGATACATACTGAATCCAAAAATAATTTTTTTTTTGAAAAAAAAAATTTGGGCACTAGAGGGTTAATGAGTCGGAAGGGGCTAGATCGAACGACTAAATCATATTATATACTTTTGGTTATATTTTTATACAAATCTGACAAAAATGCCATATTATAACCATAGGAACGATCGGAGTAACGAAGATTCCTTTTTTATTAAAACTTTACTTGTCTTAAAAATTAAATATATTATATTATATTTTAGGCTAAATCTGAATGCCAACAATTATTTACACCGATTTGCCATTAAAATCTTAAGTAATTAAAAAATAATAATAAAACATAAAAAACAAATAAATAATAATAATAATAAAATAATAATTAATAATAATAATAAAAGCTTTCCAAATTTAATTTAATGCTTTTTTACCAGTTTCAAATTCAGATAATTCATCTGCAAACAGCAAGGGGGATACAAACGTCGGCGTTTGTTTAATTTTTTTGTTTTACTTTTAATATAAAAATAAAAAGTCAAAAACGCCGTTTTTTTTTTTCAAAAAAAAAAAAACGAAATTTGTTTTGTTAAATAAAAATTATAATATAAAAAATAATAAATAAATGGCCGATCTGAGTACCTGTAGAATTACTTGAGGAAATTACGTTCCAAATTTTAAGATTTGTATAACAAAATTTAAAGAAACTATTAACTCCTTTTGCCCCTAAAATACAGCTTCGTTTTTCCCTCTCTTCCTAAATCGTCTCTTCGAATATCGCTCTCCCGAAATCGCTCTCTTAATGTTGCAATGACATCACTCTCTTCTCGCTCCGATGTTGCATAGATTTTGCGCTTCTTGGTTTCCATCTCCTCCTGCTGATCCTCTCATTCAAAAAAAAAAAGTTGCACGAAAAAGGAGTGAAGCCGTGCGCTGCGAAGTTTTTTCCTATTCTTTTGTTGTTTCTTTGTGCTGTGTTTTATTAAAAGTCAATGTTTAAATGTAAAGTAATGTGTTTTATTGCCAACAATCAAATATGAATACACAGAGAGTGTGTGTGTGTTTTATTTCTTTTTTGTTTTGTGAATCAAAAGGCCAAAGAAAGATAAAGAAAAGTGTGCATATGTATGTACATATGTATACGCATATTTATTATTTTATATTTTTGTTTTTTTTTTTTTTTGTGCTATAATATCAATATAAATGTATTCACAAAAGGCCAAGTGTTAGTGTCAAAAGAAGCTAAAGGAAAAAAAAGGCAAGTGACGGCCATTCGCAACAAGCGAAGAAGTACAGCAAAAGAAGGTGAGTGCAAGAAAATATGTAAAAAAGGCAGAGGGAGAACAGAGATTGTATGATCTATATTTGAGTGCGTGAGAGAGAGAGAGCGCATCAACAAGTGAGGCTAATCTGACAGCCAAACAAATACCGGTGATTCCTATTGGGTGAGACAAGTAAAGACTTAGCCAGACTGAAAAAATGATGAGCGAGAAAGAGTAATAATTATATATGTATGTATGCATGCAAATATGCCATTACCCAGCAAGCATTTTATGAAAATTCTGATCGAATTCGAGTCATTTTCGATTCCTCTTGCTGATTAAAATGAGCATATATGCGCTCTTTTTCTGATCATAAATGACGCTGCCTTCGGGAGAAAATGGACCCCTAGCCGCGACTCTTCTGGAAGAGTCGTTTTCGACTCCTCCTTCTGCCAAGAGGGGGCTCTTTTTCGAGTCCTATTTGAATCGAATTTTGATCGTTTGAAAGGCATATTTGTAGCAATAAGGGAATCATTTTTGACTCCCATTAATACTAATTAGGGACTCTTCTTCGAGTCATATTAGAAGTGAAAATAATATAAATATTCCATAATATTTTGTTGCTTTATTTTTTATTGGTATATATATTTTTATATGAAATAATAATAATTCAAATTTAACAAATAATATCACTAAAAACTTAAGTATTCCAATCGCCTTCTTCTTGATGCACGATCTTTGGCACACATTACCTATTCTCACTAAGCTTAACAAATTACTAAAACTTAGTTTAAAAATGCAGAACATAAGAGCAAACGATTCAAATTTTGTGAAAAGTACCGTTTAAGGCAGACACAAGAATGCAGGTAAAAAGGAGAACGCGCGATTAGGCTCTCCAAGCTCTCTGACCGAATGTAAATGCAAAGCAATAAATAATCTCATTTCAATCATCCGGATGATCAATTTTCGATTGCTTTTCAATTTTGCTTTGCTATTTTATAAATCGTATTTAGAGGTAACTTACGACTCTTTTTGGAGTCATTTTCGAGTCATTTATTAGTCGCGCATAAGACAAATCTTTTTTTAATCCTTTCAATGACTCGAAAATGACTCCTCAAGATGATTGCGATCTTCCGAGTGCTTGCTGGGATATTTTATTATTTTGTGTGCCATGATTTTGCCAAAGCTATAAGTGCTAGTGTCCAAATATAGAAAGAAAAACAACATAGCAAAATGATGACCATTCGCTACATGCGAAGAAGCGAATCAGAAGGTGGGTGCAAGGAAATACGTAAAAAGAAGAGAGAGAGAGAGAGAGAGGAGGTTCTCTTGCCTATGCATGTGTGCGTGTGCAAATGAGAGAGCACATCAACAAGTGAGGCTAATCTGACAGCAAAACAAATACGGGTGATTCCTATTGGGTGCAACAGGGACAGGGAACGACTAAGACAGGCTGAAAGACTGACTAATGATGATGACAAATAAAACGGAACAAAATAATAGGGAATATAACAAAGAGCAGCGGGGAGGTTAGTAAGTTAGATCAGTTTTGGGGTCAAGAGTCAGGCAAAAGAGAATTTTAAGGGAAGGGGCGACGGGTGACGACACGCTAATTAAGAAATATTTATTAATAAAGCGAAATAAAAAGCGAAGTATTAAAAAATTCTTAAATTTTCAAAAATATATAAACAAAACATACACATGCAGGAGGCTTTTGTTATCTTGTTTTTGTTGCCCGAATTTTGAGTTTTGGTGTTCTTTGGCGCGCTTTGACCCTGAAATTCTAAGCTCAACCCTGATTTAATTCTTTAAAAACTTATTATTTTAATTTATTTAAATAATTTTTGTCGTGTGCCATTTAAGCTGAGGCCTGTTAACAATGCTTGCATTCGGTTAACCCAGCGTTGAACATGCAAACGGGCCGGAAAATGGGGGAAAAAGGGGCAAGCAGAGCCTGATTCTGTGCCTGTTGCTATGTTTGTGTGTGTGTGTCGCCTGTAATTTGTGTGTACACAAAGCCCGCCAAGTGGCAAAACGCAACAACAACAGAACATGCGAAGGAGGCAACACCACACTCTCTGGGGCAGGGGGAGGGGGCACAACCACTTCAGGCGCGCCCGTGCAGGTCGCCAATTTCTAATTTATGCACCGACTCCTCAACTGGACGCGCGTTCTCGTTAAGCTGTTGTTGCTTTCGCTGCTGCAACAATTAAAAGTCCTCGCATGCGGCATGCAAGGACGAGGGAGTTGGGGAGGCGCTCAAGCGCGAGCTGACAGAAAAATTAAAACGGCAACAAATTTGCTGTTGCAACTTGCGACCCCAGAGCGGCTCATGACTGCGGCAAATTAACACAATATCTTAGCCAACCTCGAGATTGAGGTGAAAGTGGAGGTGTTCAGGAGTGCAGAAGGAGTGAGTCCTTCGCGAGAAGGCTTATTTTAATAAATTGTCCCTGGAAATTGGCCTCGAGCTACAGCTTGTATGAGAAACCGGCCTGAGACTTAAATTGCAATGATTATCGCATTAGCTAAACAATTTTCAGCTCAGTTTATTCACTTTTTTATATGGGGAAAATAAAAGGTAATTAAATGTGCCAGCGGATCATCTTCATTAACACTCAACAAGTATGGCAGCTAACTACCTTTGGTTAGCCGACGAATGTATACCCTTGTAGTTTACAATTGAATCATTCGATCGAGTTTAAAATTGAGGAAAAAGTTTTAATTTCAAGTCGGCTATATAGTTTAAAATTATTATTATTTTAATTTCTTTTCATTAATTTGATGATATAAAAGACAACAAACAAGAAAGGAAGCCAATTGCAGATTGCAATTGGATCATTAATAATCGATTCTGTAATATTAAAAAATGCTTATATCTCAAAGGAGATGAAAATACATTAAAAAACAACGAAGTTATAATACTTTATGGATTTTTTAGGGGTAGAGCCAAATTTTCATCTGGCAACTCTGGCCTCCAGCTTTCCGCCATTCCTTCATTCCACTTTTCGGTAAAAAACTGTTCGGTAGGGAAAAAGAGCGCTCCTGCGCAAAACCGGCTTAAAAAACGATCGGAAAATTGCGGAAAAACATTCTCTGTGACGGGAAAAAGGAAAGCCCGGAGAAAGCAGGAAAAATCTATGCCCGGACGACGTGGCGTTAGGTTTTATTTCAGTTTTTAGTTAAGTCCAATTGCAAGTGCGAGTGCGAGTGAGACAGAGCGCGTGGCAGTTCCACTGAACTGGGCAAATCCCGTTAGATTTCGTTTTGCTTTCGCGCGTTTCTTCTTATTTTGATCGTCAAAAGCGAAGGGGAGAAAAAGAGTAAGGACAAATGTGACGTTTGGACGCTACAAACAATTGGTTAGTAAATATATGTAAATATTGCTCTCTTTAAGTTTGGTTAGTTTTATTTAGTTTAGTTTGTATTTTGCTTTTATTTTGTTCTGGATTTGTTGTCTCTGCATATTGTCCTTTGCTTTGCTCTCATCTTACACTCCATTTTTTCTGGTTCGTTTTTGTGTTTCTGATTCTTGCTCTTGCAAAAACACCGAGGACTCTCTCTTTCGGAAAAGAGATCCTGGAATATGATCCACATTTGTGGATTGCAAATTTCTTCTCTTTGATGATTGCTCAACTGATTCTGACAGAAATTATAATACCCTGCAAGGGTATAAAAATTATAACGTTAAGAACAATTTTGTTCAGTATTTTATTTTTATTAAGATATGAACAAAAAATTGAATTATTTGATTTTTGCCAACTAAAATAGGCGCCTTTCCTTTATTGATATTTATCAATAAAAATATGTAGATAATCAAAGTTTATATAGGGGTACCGAAGATCAGTATTTCCCTGTAGATTTCCTGGTGATTTTTTTTTTTAACACGCTAGTCCCTGAATTACATGTCAAACCGTCAGCAATATTATTTGCTGTCAACTCTTGACGAGTCTCTGCTGCCTCACATTTAGTTTGGAAAATTAGAAAAAGAAAAATCGAATATTTCGGAAAGTAGCAAATTTTGTTTCTTCTTTCGGTAAAACAGTGAAAAGTTGTCCAGAAATTTAGTTTTAATAGTTGCCATCTGTCATGGGCTTTGACATTGTCTTGATTGTGGGCCACGTGGACGAGGAGCTGCTTTGTCCGATTTGTGCCGATGTCCTAGAGGAGCCGGTCCAGTCGGTGGGCTGCGAACATGCCTTCTGTCGGCAGTGCATTGATAGGTGGATGCGTCTGAAGCAGATATGCCCGGTGGACCGATCCAACCTGCAGCCCGAAAATCTGGTGAACGTATCTCGGCTGATGCGCAACATGCTTGCCCGTTTGAAGATCCAGTGCAGCTTTACGGAGAATGGCTGCGATCAGCTACTGACGCTCGAGGGTTTCCGGGCCCATGTGGCCAGCTGCGAGCACAATCCCAAGCTGATTGTGGAGTGCCAAAAGGGTTGTGGCATCAAGGCAAGGTTCTAGAGTCGTCACAAGTTACCTCTATATTTATTTTTTTTTTTCCTACTTGGCTTAAAAGGTGCCCAAGGACAAGCTGGCCACCCATAACTGCATCGAGGAGCTGCGCGATACAGTCAAGGTTCTGCTGGGCGACTTAAAGGAGCTGAAAGAGTCACAGATCAGTCAGCAGCTGCGCATCATGACCCAGCGCCGGGAGCTGGAGCTGCTGCAGTACTACATCTCGGCGCTACGTTCCAGTAATCCGGTGATCCATGGCATTGGCGAACAGTTGGATCGCTACTCGCTGATGCAGTGGGGCAACGCCCTGCCCCTGGCCAGGGTCCGCAACTGGGGCAGCCTAGTCTCCACCCCGGACATACCCATGCACGTGATGGTCCGCGAGAGCCTGCGCGCCAGCGGCTGTCCGATGCATCTGTTTAACATGATGGTGGACCGCTGTCACGAGGACCGTTGGCCCAAGGGCCTGTCCACCCTGAATGCTCGCCGCGAGAGCCAGCACCTGTACCAGTATGTGCCACGTCTGCTGCCACCTTTAGTCATTGGGAAGCCGTGTGTGGTTGTTCTGGGTGGCGATAATACACACATGCCGCCGGATCTGGTGCCGTCCCTGGGTATGGTCTTGATCTTTGTAGACGGTGTGACTGAGTTGCAGCAGGAAGCGCAGCAGGAACCGCAGCTGGAAAGCAGCTATGCCTAAGAGGCTATACTCTCTGGTAACACGTATTTTCAAGGACAAAACATAAGCGACGCGGAGATGCTACTGGATCTTCTTCAATTGTCCTGGGAATAATGATTTTAATGTTTAAAATTAACAACACAAATAAGACGAGCAATCGACCTCCGCATTTAACAGAGCGCAACAATATTACTTTAAAAATAACGGAAACAAAAAAAACAATGAATTTTGATTTGGAAAACTCATTCCAAAATAGGGAGTTATGATTATGCAAACGAATAAATAATAATGTAAAATGAATCTTGAGGCAAATAAGCTTGAAATATATGCCAGAATTCTTTCTTTAAAATTTGTAAAATCCTTGAAATGTAATATCCTTAGATCCCTAATATCATACAGGATATGAATGCAAACAGCACAATATAGGAAACGATATTCCCAATTGTCGCAATGCTTTTTTTTTTTGATTACTCCTATTGCTTATCATCATTGACTTTGACTCTTTTTCCACACTGCAGGTTGCATTTGCAACGTAATTTTTAGCGCACACAATGGCCGGGAAGTCCTCTTGCTTCCCCCTCCCTCCCTCTCTGTGCCACCGTTTGGGGTAAACATTTCAGAGGTGACACATCCCAGTATTCCCCCACTCTTTGTGCCTTTCACTATTTGCATATAACAAATAAACACACTCGCAGACACACTCAGTCGCCTGCACCCACACCAATACACAAATAAACTGATAAACTGATTGCAACCGCACGGGGGATGTGACCAGGGGGTGGGGTGGGTGGTAGTGGGATGCATTCAACCGAAACCGAAACAGTAGCGAAATTTATAACCAAAAAGGGAATTACAAAATCGCGTATAAATTTATGTACGAGAAGGGGTTGCTCCTGGCCAGGGGGTGGGGTGTGGGAGTGAGAAGTGAGGGAGCAGACCCCGCGTCCCCCCTCACCCCTTTTTTTGTGCAGTGCACACAGTCACACAGCAACAAAAGCAATAACGCCGGGGAGCTGATAAAACAGATTTCGATATCAGCGACAGGCCAGGGGGGGTGGCAAAAAGGGGCTGATGGTGAGGGGGCTGAAAGAGGGTGCGCAATTGTTGGGGCTGTAGACTAAAGCAGAGACAGGGGGACCGCAATGAAGTGCCAATATGATCGGGATTCGTCACTTTTAAACGAGAAATGGAAATGCCATGTGGCCTTGCTTTTAAAATATTCGTTACTCTCGTTGAAACCAAACTTAAACCGCAAATAAATGGTTTAACTTGTTGTTAAATATATAAAATTAAACATATCTATTTCAATTGGTAATAAACATTCCTTGAAATTTTTTAAGAGGACTTGGAAACCTACGCACTTTGAAGAAAAGTAAAAGTTGATTAAAAAGACATTAAATTGATCTTTAAATAGGCAAGCTTAAGATTTTAATATAAGTTTTAGCTAAAATTCTCCCTGAAAAAGCTTATTTAATGTTGTTTTTATAACCTAAAAAACCAGATTTTCTATTTATTTTAAGTCAATTTCTCTTTTAACAAATATTTTAAAACTTGATTGTCAGAATCACCCATAAAACAGCAACTCTGCTTGGTTAGCTCCTGTTTTTCGTGTGTTATGGTAACCCTGGTCACCCATAATTTACTCTATTTTTCGAAAAATGCCCCTTTTGGGATACCCGACACACACACACACTCTGAGAGCAGCCCCAATGGAAGCGAATATAAGAATATCAATTTCACTGAAAATGCAAATTTCGAACGGAAAGAACTGTCAGAGAGAGAGAGGCAGGTTGGGGGCTGTACTGGATGCCGGGTGGAGGGGTGTATACTCCTCTTCCACTGTTTATGGCTGCTGCCTCGACGCGCAGCGAACAGATTGTTTCCGCTGTTGTAGACTTTTTGGCAAACGAAACACACTCGGGAGGGTACAAGTGGGTGACGGGAGGGGGATGAGTGTAGATAGCTCCAATGACTCGGAAGTAAGTGCGAGAATGTCTATGCCGCCATCCTTAGCCCCCCTTGCACCTTGGTCCTGTGTGATTTTCACAGCTCGATTCAGCCGCCTCCCACGTCCAAAGTGTTAATTTACGAAATTGCAGGGAGAATTCATTGAGTTAAGAAGTTCTGCCGGTGCTCCTTGCTTATTTATGCATGTAAATGTGTGTATGTGTGTGTGCGCCTTAACTGCTTCCCTTAGACGGTTCCGGTTCCCGACCCCCACAACACATTTACTTTCACCTGTATAGGTACATATCCCTGTTGGCCAAGCGCTTAGAGTCGTCGCCTGGCCCTGGGCTGGCCACTAGTTTTATTTTTAACCTACCTTCAGGTAGAAGCCACTCCCCCCTTTTGGCACCTGTTCCCCGCCCCCACTGCATGTTTATAATGTCTGCCTGCTATCGGAGCGCTTCGATCTTGGTAAATGGAAATTTACACGTTAACACTTTTGGCCGCTTGTAAGTGATTTGGTTTTAATTCGCTTGATGGCGTCTGTTGGCTTTCTCTCTCTCTCTCTCTGGCTTTCCACCTCTCTGCTCCTGTGTTTTCTGGCCAACATGTTCGTCCTGTGGGACTGCCACTGTCCATGTGTGTGTGTGTGTAGGCGTGCCTCGTCCTTGGTCTATGTTAATTTTTGGCTCTCTCTGTTCATGTTCGTTTGTTGTTTATGATGCAAGTCAGGGGGGGAGGGGTAAATGTGAAAGAAATGTAGATAAAAATTCCAGACAGAGCAAGGACTCTCCCCCGCATCTTTTGCGGCCAGCAACTTAATCCCTATTCCGTCTCAGAAGTGAGGCACCAGGAGGAGCACAGCCCCAAGGAGTCGCAGAAGAAGCACCAGAACATGGAGCACATTTGAAATTCACATGAGCCACCGGGTAATGCCTGTGGCCACATGCAGGAGCTGCACTAATTTGCATATGACCACTACTACGGCCGACACCGAGTGTGTCGACAGACAGCTAGCTTTCCCTCTGCAGGAGGAGATGGGGGCGTAGTAGCCAGACCACGCCCCCTTCTGCGACTGTGGGTTATCAAAGGAGTCGTTGCCACACACACTACACACCACACCACACACTTCATTCGGCCCTCGAGTCATTTTCGCGCGCCTAAGCTGATGGTCTTGGGGTCTTCTGCTTCCACGCCCCCAAAAACCAATGTCAGTTATCAATGGTGCACTGAGAAAAAAAGGCTTACTGAAAATATATAATAAGTAAATTATATGGACCTAAAAAAATAGCTTAATGTGTCTGGAAAAAACGACTTGCTGTATGAATTTAATCCGAATTCATATGATAAAAGTTTTTTGTAGGACATTAGCAACTACAGACGAATAGATTTAGCCTTGTCCGTTTATCTGTATAAATACTTAGATTTTATAGGGTTTACAGATTTAACCAAATATAGCAAGAAAATTTGATAATTAGACTCGATTTACATAGTTATGTCCGCTTGTCCGTGTGTCCATTTGTCCGCTTGTCTGCTTGTCCGTTTGCCCTTAAAAACATCTAAATTTTAAAGACTATAAAAGCTAAATCTATCATATTTAGTAAAAAGATCCAAACATCTAGCAGGCCATACAAATAGTTTAAAAATAAATAAATAATACATAAATGTATAATATTTAAAGTACTTTCCCTCCCCATTTTCCCCCAGTGTTAAGTGATATCCCTGTTCCAATTTTCAATCGCTGTTTCCGTGTGTCCTTCTATTTGCTTTTGGCCTCTCTCCGCCTTCGCCCGTCCATTTGTTTGTTTGTTTTCACAGCATAAGGCGACAATCATGCGAAATTTCATTGCCCAAGGCGGCCCGGGAAAAGTGTCCTGCCATCGTCATCATCTCGAACAGCCATTGCCATTTCCCATTAAGGCGACATTTCAGCGTTTAACTAAATCAAATCGATATCGAATTTAGTTGTCAACGCGGCACAGAAGTTTTCGTTGCGTTTTCAGTATGTCAAAGTGAAATTGAAGGCGTGTGCGGGCAGCGGCGATGGAATTGGGCTTTACGGGTTTCAATTTCGCCTGAACCCAGAGAACCCAGTGGGTGGGAGAGACCTCAAAAGTTGGCTATGTGAAATGTGAAACAGAAACAGTAACCCAAGTTGATGGCAAAGGCCAAAGGGAAAAGTTTCTTGGTACGTTTCGCCTTGGCACAACTTCAACGCGGGGATTGCGTGTCGTCCTCGGGCTTGGATTTTTCGGTGTGTGTCTGTCTGGGCATGTCTGTCTGTGCGTGTGACCGCATGACAAAAAAGCCACAGGTTATGAGTTTTTCATTACATTGCCATGCACCCAACCTCCTACTATATACATATATATTTTGCCCCGTACCATCTCGCCTTACTTTTATGTGACTTTTGTTTAGTTCTGGGGTCCCTTGGCAGGCCACCAATTCGTAATTGCACGAATTAGTCTGCAGTATATTGAAAGTGTCTTGAGTAAATAATGCCCAAACTGTTGCTTGATGTATGGGAAATCCATAAGTTTGATTTTATTTAGAATTTAATTGAATAAAATTTAATGATTTCTTGTCATAAACATTGATACTGAGTCATTAAATTGTTTTATTCTATTTTAAATATTAATTAAATTTGTTAGCTGTCTTTTGTGTCCTGCGGGTACTATTATTAGTGAATATTTTTGATAATATTTCGTTAACATTTTGCTTTTGTGCCTTGTCAGCAGCAGGCCCAAAGGCATGTCCTTAGCTCCATCATAATCTGTTGATTTCAGAGGTCCCGGTGTGCAATCGCTGGCTCAAAATCCATGGCCACAACTCATTTTCCATGCTATTGCCTCGCTGTATGCGCAATTAAAAGCGCTGCCGGAATTACCGTTAATGGCCGCAGTTGCAACAGCAAAAGCCTACACCCTGATTGTTTATACCCTTTTGAAAGGGTATCTATGGGATACAAGGGTTTTATTATATTGAAGTTTTTATATTTTAGTCTTTTATTATATTATAAAAGCTTCCCCAAGCTATGTTCTATTGTTATTATACTTTATTTCTATATTTTCAATACCAACTCTAATTCATTAACAAAATTTTAGTCTTAGAATCCCCTCTTACTTCTTCCTTAACTTTTTATAGGGTATTCCATAAGGCTATATCTCACTCACAGACCCTGTCCTCCATTGTTTTTTCACTCGTGTGTTGCTCTGGGCTGGTCCGGGATACGGGTCCGGTTTTGGGTCCACGTCCTGGTGCCGGAACCGCTGTCCCTCCACTGCTCCCGGTGTTTTTTTTTTTCCACCGCCCCCCCCCCTCAATGCTGCTGCTTTTGTAGCTGCTCCTAGACA